TCTGTTCATCCATCCTTCCGTCCACACTCCTGTCTGTCCACCCATCCTTTCCACACACCCGTCTGTCCACCCACCCATCTGTTCATCCATCTTTCTGTCCACCCACCTGTCTGTCCACCCGCCCATCTGTTCATCCATTCTTCTGTCCACCCATCCGTGTGTCCACCCATCCTTCTGTCCACCCACCCATCTGTTCATCCATCTTTCTGTCCAGCCACCCATCTGCACCTTCACCCACCCGTCTGCCCACCCACTCGTCCACTCACCCATCTGCACCTCCAGCCATCCCTTTTCTATTTCTTCATGTACCCACCCACTCATTTACTGCATCTTCATCCATCTACTGCCCCTCCACCCACCCCCTGCCCATTCCTCCCCGTCAATCCATCCGCCTGCCTCACCTTCCTCCACCTGCACCCACCCCTCCTGCTCCCTTGCACACTGCTCCCCAGATACCCCATCCCTCCAGTCACTCACCTCAGCGTCCCTCCACACACCCGTCTATGGCCCGGAGAGCCCATGCAGTGTCCATTTCCCAGCATGCCCCGGGGCCTTGAGTCACTCACCTGCCTGTTCATGAAGACGTAGATGATGGGGTTGTAGATGGTGGCGCTCTTGGCGAAGTAGGCGGGCAGAGCGGCTGCCAGCGGGTGGAAGGCGTAGCCAGGGTTGGCGGCGGCGAAGCAGGCGAAGAAGGTGTAGGGGCCCCAGCAGAAGATGTAGGCGATGATCATGACCACCACCATGCGTGACACTTCCTTCTCCGCCTTCTGCGTGGACTCCGATTCCTTCTGCTGGGCCGCCACCTGCCGGCCGGGAGAGGCAGCTGGGTTAGCCCCTGGCAGGCTGGGCTGCGGGGGGCAGCAGCCGGCCCTGGGCAACTGACAGGGCACTACTCAAGGGGCCCGGCCAGGGCAGGCTCGGGGCGCTCACCGAGCGGATGGCCAGCCACACTTGCAGGTAGCAGAGCACGATGACGCTCAGGGGGATGAAGCAGCAGGTGATCATCAACACAACCATGTAGGACTGAACCCCAGGGTCTGAGCTGCCACTGAAAACATCTGGGCCACAGGAGGTCTTCAAGCCATGGGGCCAGTACCTGGAGGGCATGGAGCAGTCAGGGGGGGCACAGTCCCAGCCGCTCTTC